TATTCTAGGCGTTATTGTTCGATATTTACTCAGAATATTCAGAATTTTTGTAATTGGATTTCGTTATTATCCACTGTTAGCTGCTGTTTATATTGACCAAGTAGTAACCCTATTTTCAGCGACATTGTACGCTTGGCTAGACTTTGCTGTTAGTGTAGTTAATAAAGGTTTATGTGACAATTATTATCCAACTCACCAAAAATATATCAAAACAAATGGTACAAGTGGCTCAGATACCCACCGTCGACTCATGTTCTACGGAACAGGATCAACACTGATTACCATGGATCTTGTGAAAGATATACCTCGCTACATCTGCATGGCGTATATCTGCGTGAAACTACCTTCTTACTTAATCAGAAGACTACATGCCTTCTGCAAAAGTAAGCGCCCAGTTTCAACCTTGTTGAAATTATCAGACATGACAAGAGAAGAAAAACAGTTAGCATCTTATATGAAACACTCAGTAGAAGCTCTTTACGTGAGAAATTTGTTTATACCACCAAAATATCGACCTCGTAGCCGGGCAGTACTCTCACGAATAATTCCAAAGAAAATGTATACGTTTCGTGATGATTTTCGTTTTTCGACGAGGATCGTATGTGTCTATTCAACTGTATTAATGTTCATATTTGTCTTGACGATTGATCTCATCATAAACGTAAGAATAAAAAAATGTTTTTTACATAATTTATATCCATATTGTAAACAAGATAATTTCCACTGTACTTTCAAAGGCATATATCTGCTTGTACACGTGTACATAGGCAAGATTACGAGATAGCGAAACAAATTGTACAGCTTTTTTTAGAGTGTGAATAGGCTAATGTAGTGACCCTGTAGGGTCATATATGCGAAAAACTCTGAAAGTATATAATTTTGATCCTATTTTTAAATGGTGTTTTTATTCTAATTTTAGGTTGTACCATTATTACTCGAGGCTCAGAAAGCGTTGCAATCGTTTTTTGATCTTTTTCTTTTGAAAAACCGTTTACCGCTTCCGACTTTGCTTGCACCGTACATCATCGCGTTAGTACTAGCAGCATTTGGTGTCTGCTTACAATTAGCAGTCCAGATAGTGGCAATAAGACGAAATTTATTGCAAGTGTATCGTGGTGACGATTCCGAATTGCCACATCGTTCAAAACTGGACAATGTTAGCACAGCCATGGGAAATTTTCACTTCGCTGGTAGGTAGTAACAGCAGCATTTGGATTTTAGGGGGAAACAACTGATTTTTGGATTTTTCCGATTTTCACCAAATGAAAAGTCATCGAAAATCACAGAGGATTACTGAAAATCAATTGATTCTGGGTGATTTTCGACTGATTTTGGGCGGATTTCAATCAGCTGTTTCCTTCTTGGGATTTCTGCAGTTGTATTTATCAACCGAAAAATAAATAACTGATGAAAAAAGATATTAGTCCTTTGATGCTTCTAATTTTCCTCTAATGATATCGCGATTACCCTCTTTCTACGTCTAATGGCATCTGCGTGAGTATTTTGTGCCATGATCTTAAATCACTATGGTAGTAATTGTCGCCAGTCTTTGATTTCGTGGATAAGTAAACACCAGGCTGTACTATGAACAGCGGATGCATGGTTTCACCAAAGTGAATGTTTTAATCAGTTTAGTCAGAAAAGCAGATGATTGGCACTGTAGTGAGTGGTGAAACAACGCATTCTAGGATCTTACAAAAAAATTTAAAAAACTCGTAACTCCCTCAAAATCGGGTCAAATTTTGAAAAATATACTCAGATTAATTCCTTTAAAGATTGATAAACTTGGAAATATGATAAATTGGAAATACAGGAAAATACCTTAGCTCTCATTCTAAAAAACTAACATACAGATTCGTTTTGCACTTTTAACCATACAATCATGTACAACTAAAGCACGGTATATTTTCAAGCACTGAAACCCTTGCTACAAAGTTAGGTTCGCAGTCACCTATTGACTATAATAGATGAAGAGTACGGACTACTTTCACTTTTGCAGGGCTCAACTCAAACTCATGAGAAAAAGTGAACATACTGCGGTTTCAAACTTTAAAGATCTAAACGGATTTATCTAAGACTCTGTAAAAACTCTATATTCGACAAAGATTTTTGAACTTTTCGCTATATGACACGACGATCACAAGTCTTAGCTATCAAATGATGAAGAAAGCAGACCTCCATTATCTATGGTTGAAGAGCTATTCAAAAGGGCACAAAATGCTTTCTATTTTGAAATAAATAGTAGTTTGATATATTAGTATCAGTTCCTCTTTCTCTGTTCAGGATATTTTATCGGTTACCTCCTGTGGGGTTATCTATCGATTATCGTTTTGGCATCTATCATCGTTCTACCCATTTTTGCTCTTATTCAGTTTGGTAGTTTTCATCTATTTGAAAGTATTTTGAAGAAAATTATACCATTTTTGTTATTTATTAACTTCAAAAGTTATCTGAATAAACTATTGGCACAATATGTATTTCTACAACATCGGGGCTCGGTACTAGCACTGAATAACCGACGATGTCTTATGGTATTTCTTTACTTCAACTTTTTTCTTGATGCGATTCTTGGATTTGTATCGTGCATAATTCGAATTACTTATACTGTCGTTGTCACCATGATCTATATGTGCAGACTAGATTATTCGCCCCTGGGAAGAAAGTTGGAAAGACTCGATAGAGGATTCAGTTCATATGTTGGATTTATTTACATGGAGAGGGAACAATCCCATCCAGTCATGTTATGGTTTGCTAGCTATCTTTATTTAAAGATGAAGTTGAAGCATACGAATACGAAGAACGATTTGCATACAGTGATGGGAAAAGGGATGAAAAAATACAACTCAAGAATAGTCCAAAAATGGTGTGTTGCGCTGACACTGATACGTAATCCAATGCTAGTTCATATGAGCAAAAGCTTTCTACGTCGACAAGAAATCAAACATATAAATGCGTATCATAAACGTCGAGATGACCGTGCATTTTCCATTCGATATAGTTTAATATCAGAATTGGACGTAAATCAGTTATGGATAAAACAAGTGCTAAACTAAGAACAAAAGTATAGATCATCAAGTCGAACTTAAATATTTCTGTGCTTTCGTGTTCTCTTTTTTACTGGATGAAATCATATCTGTGATATTTATAATAAAAAATTAATAAATACGGTAGTAATTCAATCTACCTTCGATTGATCATTATTCTTCATTCTTGATTCCTTAACACAGAGACTCGCCTTTTGTGAGGTTTCTAGCCAGAAAAAAACTTACTTCTGAAAATGTTCGAACAAAAGAATGTTAACGGTCCATAATGGTCCAATAACAGCCTAAAAAGAAATTATCCATTTTTGGATGGTAATAAAACTGCCACTTTTAGCATTAAAACATTCTCAGTTTAAATGTATAAAAACGATCAAATAGTTGCCAGAATGATCTAAAAATGTTCATTTAACAAACACCGAATCAGTTATTAATAGATATTGAATAGACAATTGATTACACCATGTTCGACGTCCTGGGTATATATCTGGTTTCAAAAACATAAATGACAGGTAATTTGATAAGTCAGCTAATCGCGATAAAAAAAGTCTCTCAATCGTTCGAATTTATTTATGAATTTATGCTCGTTTTTTCAACATTTGGAGCAAAATGCACAGTTCAAAGAAAGCAGTGTACAGATAAAGATCGAAAAGATGTATCACAGCACAGTAGGTAATCGACAAAGCTCAGATTTGTGATCAAAGCGGGAATGGGTAATGCTGTTTTACCATTTCCTTCATCCATCATCGCCCATAGTAAGCAGATACGAATGTCAGTATTTTATATTTTATGCTCCTGTTTTGCGTTACTTTTTATCAGTATGAATAATACTGATAGTTATACGTATTGTAGGAATGTTTTAGTTAGAACAAATCAAGCAACAGCCCGAACAATATTTCACGCAATTTCGGGAAACCTGTTTGATTTTGAAAAAAGTATAAAAAATTAGTATGCGTTGCGGCCTCTGTTTCGACAGATAGACTTCGTCATAAACGCTAGGTCTGATTTCTGCGAATATCAACGAGAAAGGATCGGTTAATCCTTAGTAGGTAGGTTCATCACTTTAATAATGTTTTCTTACCGAAATCTCATCAGGAGCCGTTGAAGGAGAAATACGACAGACCGCAGCAGATCTTTGTTCCACGACTTGAAACGCATACAGTATGTGGATCTAGGCTACACAGGAATAGTGTAAGGCTCAAACAAATATTTCGGTCAAGAGTTACATGCATTTTAAAAGTAGATGTCGCTTCAAAAAGGCGGAAAATTTTGAGTAGTCAAAAACTAGACAAAAACTTTTTTTCGAACTCAAAATGCTTCTTTCAGCAGTTTTTAATTCTCATAAGTTTTAAACAATAATGAGCAAAACAGCAGTTAAAAAACAGTGGTCCACTCAGTGTTCGAATCTGTGAGTTGCTCTTGATAAACCATGAGTTCTCCTATTACGCTAGTGCGGACAAATCTATATATAAACATCACATCACATAATCGTGTCTCACTGAAATAAGCATATACATAATTTTACAAGCTGATAGAAACCAGTACTGTAAAAAATCAGCCAGGAATTGTTTAACTAAACAAAATCATCGGCATTTATATTCTGCTCTTATTAGACGAGTTTCTCAGGAAATACATTAATATTAATTCTTTTATTTTAATAAATAAAGTAGTTTATAAAGCAATAAGTTCAATAAAGCACTCAATCCAGTGACCAAAATCTAAAGTAAGAT